CTCCCCTGGAACACTGGGAGCCGCTTAAAATCGAAGTCTCTGGAAGAGAATCCGAATCCATACCTGAAAAGATCTGCGTATGAATACCGCTCTGACAAAACTTTGGCATTCGAAACTGACAACGCCGGTTCGGAGAAACCTAATATCTCCCACCACTGCCAATCTAAACTCAAAGATAATTACAAAAACAATCTCAAAAAAAAGATGAGCTTCAAAACCTCTCATGGAGTCCACTACATCAGACCGATGCGACACCACTCGAAGGGCCATCGAACGAGCTTCAGCACTACGATGTACGCTAGCTAGCCAGCGGCAGCTTTCAACAACCCAGATCTGCTGAAAATAGCAACCATAGATCACTCACTTCCAACTTTCCTCACACTTCACTCATCGATATATTTAAGTTCACAAATTGGCGCTAGTCGGCTCAGGGAGCGAGAGAGGTGTGTGAAGGGGGTGGGGCATGCTAGACTTTCGCCAGTTTCTCATGCTAACTCCGATTACATTACACGTCTCATCGTCGTAATCCTTCGTAGACCTGTACACGCTTGTCAAGAGTAAGTGTCATGCTAATGTACGTATTGCTTCACAAGTATTTGCACGTCTCCACAGGAGGTAACGGCAGCTATTGGTGGGAAATAGCTAAATGCCCCCACCAAGCCGAACCGCGCCCAGGAATTCGATAAAATCACTTCAAAGTTCCTCTCGGTGCCCCATGCTTCCAAATATAAACAAGTTGACTTACAAAAGCGAGAAAAGCCACAAAAGCCATCGCTGACGTGAATAGGTGAAAAAGGAACCAATGCTGAGTAAAGCGAGCAAGCAGGGCTACAAAGACCTGAAAGACAATAATCAATCGAGCTCGTCGAGTGCTTTCACCTGACTGAGACCCGATCTTACGGATCATGCAACGTAAAGTAATCACCATAGAAAAACTCCATCCGTTTAGTGACACTCCCAGAAGTCTTGAACTAGGGTGGTCGAGACATTCCACAAGTAAAACGAGATTGGTTACCTGAACACCTGTAGATCACTGAATTTCAGATCATTACTGGACCCTTCTACTATATTAAAGCATTACATACTTGCGTTTAGATAGCCGGAGGCGGTGTACAGGGGGGGGGGCAAAAAAAAGTCATTTTGCCTCCATGACTTTCAAGGCGCTATAAGTTACACTTTATTAAATTTTTATCGGACATTTTTACTACCATATTAAAGAGCACATTAAATACTATAATGATACTCCGCCACAGCCTTCTGGAGGAGCGCCATCGAGAGATTCGGCCGCGCGAAAGTGAGTGGGTACCGGAGTTGAGCGAGATCGTTCGATTTCTCCGCCACCGTAGACCACCCTCTTGAAGTCCGCCCGAGCTAAGTAATTGAGTGGGTTCAGGTCAGGGGACATACTTTAATATTACATCTTCTTCAGGTACGAAACGCCCTTCCATTCGAAGTAGGCGGGAGTTTTTCCAAAACCCTTTGATTCCATGTGGTGGCACCCAAACCTGTAGCAGCACAAGGTCTCCAAGAAGGTACGGGCGACCACATGTAGGGAGGATATTCTTCTCGAGTTACTTGATGTAACCGCGCCAGCCGCTCACCTTCAGTCCGGAGTCTACAAAAGAAAATACCGTCTTGCCCCTTTCCAAGGTACAGCGGCCGGTCCATACCATTCAATCTCGCAGCCTCGCGAAATACGGTGAAGATGAGTCCTATGACCGTAGAGCGAAGTTGCCTTGTAGCTGGTCGATGTGAGATGTCTTTGCAGGTCCTAAGAGTACTGACTTCCAGGTAGCTATCTGTGGATGACTTCATTCAAGAAGTTTCGCAGCTGTTCGGAGGCGACGTGAATTCCAAAGGTGTTCTCCAGTCAGGCCGCGACTGGAGATGACTTCATATTTTGGCGTACATGAAGGCGATTGGCGGCAGCGTGCTCCAGCTTATAGAGGAAGATCTTGGGTATCTTCCACTCTGGTACTCATATCCACTTCCCCTGTCTGGGCTGCGAAAACTTCGTTGATATTTGGCTCGCCGAAATGAACTTTTATTGGCTCCCCCTGTAGTGCAATGCACTCCTACACGCCGCGCACCGGTACGGGGATCAAAGATCCCGGAATCGGCTCGCGCCCAAGCCAATCAAGCCCGGGGGCGGTTATTTGGTACGAGGTTCGCCTGGGAGGATAAGAACACTGATTTGCACTCGGCGGCCCTTGCAAGTCATTGTGTAAGCCACATCGCATTCATAAGCACGCCAATTTTCCAATGGAAGGAAGAATGTGGTGCAGCATGCCTATCGCAATGCGGGCCTTATTTATTCCTTTGGATTTGAAGCAACTATAACCACAAATCCAGGGAGGAACAAGGTAGTCATAAGATGGGCCCGCTCCACCTCTCCGTCGCCACCCCTCCCCCCTCCAGAGAAGTGGTGGAATTCGAGGAGAAAGCTCTGGAAACTGTAGGAAGTCTGGAGAACTTAGCACACGGTAGTTGGCGAAGGATGGGGGAAGAAGAAAGGGCCCTCTTAGAGGAGCTATTGGAGGGGGGGGGGCTACTTCGCTAAATTTTCTCCCAACGGCAGGACGGGACGTGCCCTATACGATGTATATTTGTTCAGATTTTTTTGTTCCCTGTAAAAGTGCATCGGCAAAATAATGCCTGCATATAAGCTGTTTCTAAAAACTGTTTACTTGCCATATATCCACCACATCCTGCACCAAGTGTAAACATGAATGCAGCTGACAACGCCCAGGATACGGTAGCGACAAAGGAAAACACGCCATTCACCATGCAAACCAGCAACAGACAGCCTAGAAATAATTGAAATATTCGCCTGCATTGGAAATGTTATGACAATACTCACAAACTAGCGAAAATCTCGAGGAAAGCCTTCTTCACCTTTCAGCACTGGCAATCTCCCATAAGTATCCGCAAGCCATCCAGCTGTAAACGAGCCCGTCAGTGCTCCAGCCATCAAGCTAGTGGACATGAAAGCCGTCAATGCTGACTGTTGACAAGCCTCACCCCAATCCAATAATAGAGAATTGAAGTCAATGTCAATCATCTAAAACATTCACGTAAACAGTATTTGGAAACAAATGCGACAATTTATTTCTTAACAATCGCCATCTACAACCCGAATGTATGTCATCGGCGATGTTCACTGCTGTGTAGCATCGATCATTATACTACGCTACTGAGATAATTTCAACAGTTCTGTGAAAGGACGATAAACTCGAAGCTGAGCTGGACAAAGGGGAGTAATGGCACTGCCTCTAAAGAGAATTTTGAGAAAATGAGATTCCCCTCGGAAATAAATAGAAAACATACCATTGCTGCAAAATAAAAAGCGGTATGAGCTACTCAAAATAAAACGAGGAATTAAGGGGCAAACGTAGTTCAGGAGGGCTACGCGGCGGCGCGACCATGCCCGTCATGTCTTATCTGTCATTTCTCGCACAGCCATATCAAACCCTCAGCACGGGTACAATCGCCTATTCATTATTTGGTGATATGACACAGACAAGCAGACATAACGTGGCCTAGTCGCGCTGCCGCCTGGCTCAAATCAGCAAACTGTGCCCGAATTCCAAGGCATATTCCACGCTGGTCGTATGGGTGGAGCCGGGCTTATTACCGTGCTATTTTCGACTGCGCACTAGCGCTGATAATCTTGGAGGGGGAATACAAAAAATACGCGCGAAATCGGGATTTACCCTTCCGAAAAAACTGTTGTACCTGCAACCAGTTCACCCACATCTCCGTCTTCCTTTGGCCATGGGACCCCTTATCACTAACACGGCCATTCTATAATAGTTTCTGCACGAGGAGTCCCTTGCTTGCCCTCTCCAAGGTTACTACAGCCGTGTGCCTCTCCAGCTGATCGCCTTTAAAGGGGTAGCGCACCAGTAAAGAAGGTACAATGGTACGCCCGACCCCGCCCAACCAACCAACGTGGGTTGTGCATCCCAAAAATTTTCAACGCAAACCTCAGTTAGAACCTCCGAATCGATTGCTGTATCACCCGTACCATTAAGAAATGCACATGTATGCTGAAAATGGGAGATATATGTATATAAGTTTTCTTCAAATTGTAAATAATATTTCAACCTCAGTAGGCTCGTAGAATGCCGTCGATAACATGGTATTCGTTATAGGGATGTAGCTCAGCTGTGATATTGCCAAGACAATCAACTCGTATCGTCTGCAAATTCCATTCAATAGAAATATCGAGCAGCTTTCATTAATGTTTGTTTTCCATCCAAGGTTGCATTTGTTTGAACTCTTATAAAGGCCAGTAGGAGAGGCTTCCTGTAGCTCAAAGGGCTACCGTCTGTACAAATATTCTATTTGTCACCATTTCAAGCTATAACTGGTCCAGCCATATTGTTAGTACACTGCATAATCCTTAACCATTCATAAGCACTGACTGACTCTAACAGAACTGCTCCCAACAAACCAG